GTATTTTTTGATGTTCACTTAATGACACTGTATAGAATTGCTCTATGATCTTAATATGTATGTTTTAGCTTCTAGAGGCTATACCATTCATGCACAGAGTCTCGTCCCTGATGAAGGAGTTGACGTACTCTGAAATGCGTCGGATGCTATCTAGGAACTCTGTAATGTTGATATATCTTTGTATGGTATTATTGTACTTACCTTTCAACTTAACGCCTGTTCAATGTTTTATGGCTGACAAGTTTTAGCATATCTATATTCAATAAAGATTGTTGTAACTTTTACTTACTTTTTCGATGCCTTTAAAGTCCCAACTAGGGGGGTTTCTCTCCAATGCAACTTTCTATTTTAGGGATGTTGGTATCCATTAGAGATACCTCAGGATAATCTTTTCTTATCTACTACTTAGGGGCACAGCAGCGGCTAGGCGGACTACAGATACCAGCAAGTAGAAAAAGCAAAGTGAACATAAAACCAGAAGTAAAAAACACTCTATGTGATACAATTCTCAGCAAGCAGGAGAGTAGGTAAACCAGTGGCTGTGGCTGCGCCCAAAGCGGTGGTGCCCCCTAGGCGGTTGCCTAGCTCATCTAGTGGTAGTACCAGCTTGACATACACACAATGACCATTCTTTGTCATAAATTCCTACAACTGTTGCAGGCCTCTTGGTAGCCTCCCTAACCAGATTCCTCCTGTTTTTTCATCCAGTATGGACCAACGTCCTGATCCAGGGAGGGTCTGTGTTGTACCAAATACCTTCCACTTCTTAATAATAGACTTCACTGTGCTTATAGGCATTGATAAAGCCTTTGAAAAATTTTTCACCTCCTAACTTGTGCCTGTCCAAAACTTTATCCTGGAGATCTTTTGACAGTGCCTTGCCACTCATTGTTAATTATTTGCTTAAATTGCCCTACCAGGGAATGAAATGCTCCAGGAAAGCTCTTTTCACGCTGAGCTAATAAAAATGACCTCTGTTGAAAGTCAAATAGCTTTGTGTGACATTGAGAAAGTAATTAGCTATACCTGATTGAGTTTACAAGTTTTTTTTTAGGAGGGGATGATCATTTTTCCAACTCAGTGATTCTGTTTTTGTTTTTTTTTTTTTTAATTTTTTCTGACATATTGGTGTTATATTTTCACTTGGATGTTATAAGTTGCACAGAGTAAATAGAGCTGGATAAAACAAAAACTGTGTCTGTCTTTCAGGCTGCAAAGCAGCAAAATGTGATTATTTTAAGGGGGAATGATTCTTTCCTATACCCATTTTACCGCACAAGTAAGCAGTGATGTGTTGAAAACAAAGTGCAGCTGTGTCATCAATAAGATTACACTGTTCACTCCAAAAGAAAAAAAAAGTCCAAGCAACAACAAAAAAAAACCTAAAACAACGAAACTCATCCCCCCAAAAATGATTTTTATGTAGAAAATAAAAAAGAGCAAACGTGAAAGAAAAATACAATACCAAAAAAAAATTCAAGGACACAACAGCAAATCAGCAACTACAGTTGTTGCTGGCACTCACATAATGGAAGTCCTAAAATATACTGTTGGATCTCTGAACTGTTGTGCCACTGGCCATTTTGTACAACGTTGAGACTTTTCTATAGCCTTCAGATCTGTTGTGCTTATAAATATACCAGTCAACTCAGGTTTATTACCTTATTTAAAAAAGTAGGTGCAGCAGACAAAAATACCTAGATAAGTCTTTTTTTTAAGATTATTAGAATAACTTTGGGGTGCTGCTGCTGTGCAAGCTAAATGCAATAGTTAAAGATAGCTAAAAATGAAATTATACATCCAAAATATGTGATAATAGAATACCATGTAACTGATGCTGTCCATTACCAGGCATCGCTCAAGCATTTAATTTAACAACTAGCATTTTTCCCTGCTATATAGTAATTAAACATGATTTTGCTATTTTAAAATGCCCCTCATGACAGTGCCCAGTTCCCCTTATCCTATTTTTTTGGTAATAGCGTGCCTATTACTGTTGAAAATGGCTAGACTTAATTATTAAGACCTGCCTCGCATTGATTTCAATAAGGTTCGCTGCTAAGTTCAGGTTTTGGTAATTTTAGACAGATTTCAATGAACCTCCCGCAAATCAAATCTAGGCAGATTCTCATATCCCCAGTTAGCAGTAGCAGTGCACACATCTCTCTTCTGACAAGTTTCCTTTAATATAAATTGAAGCGAGAAGAGTTCAAGGTAATGCTCAGTGGAAGTGTATATATTGATCAATAGGGTACCTTTACTGTTCAAGTTAGCAAAAGGTCAGAGTTAGAGAAATACTCAGATCTTTATTCCACTGTGTCCTCTCATCAATATCCTCCCTTTATTGTAATGTTACTGTATCCTCTACAAAGCTTAATTCCTTGTGCTAACTTTGTAATAAAGATTTGGTGAAGACAGATGTGACAGGTCTAATCTGACTGCCTTGCATGAATAATGATAATTTCAGCTCAGCACACTTATGCCGACAAGATAAATTTAATCAGTAAAATGGTCTGCCACAAAAATTACCACAAACCTAACCTTCCATTTATTCACTGCTTTTATATTAATAGGATTAGATACATTTTCAACCATGCAGAAGATACAATACTGAGTCTCATAGCATTCCAACTATACTCAATAATACAGGCTTTGCTTGGAAATAGTGAATGGAGAACTTGGATGGGTGCAATTCTTGGGGGGGGGGGGGGGCTGGAGGGGTGGAGGGTGGATGGGGGAATGCGTTTGGCAAATGAACCAAAGAAAACTTTGAACTGAAAACATTAAATGAGATCCCCTATGAAGTCAATGGGAGGTGAGTTTTGAAATCAATTCTCTCCATTTTCAAGGGATTGTCAAACAAAGGAGCTGGGCACTGCCTGGAAGACATGTACCAATGCAGGAAAATGTTAATACCAGTCAGCTGGAGAAGGCCCCTCATTTTATGAGACTTTGAGGGCAACATGTGGAATCTACCTTTAAGGTATTTGCAGATTGAAGATTATCCAAGACGTCAGCGACACCTTACCGTCACATAATTTTTATGCGTAATACATTTTTTTCATTTTGCATTTTTACTTGACTTACCGGAAGCAAGAGCAACGCAAGCTGATTAATGTTAACTTGAAAATATATTTTTAGGTAGTTTTGCTGTGATACATGATTTTTTTTTTTTATCAAGCAGTAATAGCCAGAATTCAGCTGTGAAGTAGTAGGCAAAACAGATGTAAAAGCAGTTCAAAAGTTTACATTTTTCGAAAAACAAAATAAAATGTCTTATCTGTATAGTAATTGCCAAACAGTGGTAAAATACAATATGTTTCATAACAAGTTTGTGAACTTCATTTAGTGCAGTACTACACTATATTGCCTACATGGTTTAATTATATGACAAAACAGAGTGCACAAAAGTAGTTCAAAACCACAACCCCACATTCCAGAAATGACACAATTGTTATGAAGAAATAAAAATTACAGAGTCATATTTCAAAGACAATAGTTGGATTTATAGTACAGTGGTTGAAGAGTGTGTAAGCAAGTTTTTTTTTAATTACAGTGGATTATGTAAGAGACAAGAGGCAGGCATATTGCAAAGACACATTGGACATCATGTAAAACCTTTTAAGTGGGTCGCATTTGAAGAGGAAGAGACAAAGCATTTCTGATCCAGAAATACACCTTAGAGTGGATTATGTCAGGGACACAGGGCAGAAATATTACAGAGACAATCTGCACCTCATTTAAGTCTTTTTAGTAGACTACATTACAAAATGAAGCGATGAGACATTTTTGATCTAGAAATAAAAATTACAAAGGATGATGTCAGGGGCACAAGTCAAAAATATTGCAGAGACATGCTGCACCTCATATAAGAGTATTTTGTTGGGAGCATTTGAAGATAAGAGATGTGATATGTTTGAACCCAAATTATAAATTACATTTGATTATGTCAGAAACACAAAGACGTATTAGAGACATCATATAAACTACTGTGCTCAGTATAAATGAGCACACCCCTTTTGAAAAGTATGATTTTAATCAATGACTCAATGAACACAAGAACAATTTCCAAAATGTTGACAAAACTGAGTTTTTTTTAGAACATTTGTTTAGCTCATTACATGAAAGTAAGAATAATAATATAACTTAGATTACAAAATATTCAGTTTTACTCAAATTAGTTGATGCAAAAATTAATACACCATACAACAATAACTACTACATCTACTATTTTGTATGACCTCCATGATTTCTAAGGACAGCACCAAGTCTTCTAGGCATGGAATGAACACGTTGGCGACATATTGCAAAATCTATCTTTTTCCATTCTTCAAGAACATCTTTTAGAGCCTGGATGATGGATGGAGAGTGATGCTCAACTTGTCTCTTCAGAATTCCCCATAGGTGTTTGATTCGGTTCAGACCAGCAGGCATGCATGGCCACTGAATCACTTTCACCCTGTTCTTCTTCAGAAATGCAACAGAGGCCTGAGATGTGTGTTTTGGATCATTGTTATGTTGGAAAAGTGCACGACGACCAAGGGCATGGAGTGATGATAACATCTCTTTGCATATAGAGCAGTACATCTGTGAATTCTTGATACCATTAATGAAATGCAGCTACCTGACACTCATGCAACCCCACAGAAGGACACTGCCACCAACGTGTTTCACTGTAGCCACCATGCATTTTTCTTTGTACTACTCACCGTTGCAACGCCATACAGTTTTGAAGCCATCAGTTCCAAAAACATTTATCTTCGTCTCATCACTACAGAGTACAGAATCCTAATAGTCTTCTTCATGGGCCCTGGCAAATTCTAGTTGGGCTTTTTTGTGCTTGTGCTTTATGAGAGGCTTCCTTTGTGGATAACACCCATGCATGCTATTCCTCTGCAGTGTATGTACCACAGTTTGGCTTTCTACTTCTTTAGCTAACTGCAGTGAACTTGCATGGCGATTTTCTTCAACCCTTCTCATCAGAAGATGCTCCTGCTGAGGTGTTAACTCCTGTAGACAGCCTGAACGTCTCTGTTATGGTTGCAGTTCCATCTTTGTTAAATTTTTGTATCACTTTTGCTACAGTATTCTGACTGATAAGTAAAGCTTTGCTAATCTTCTTGTAGCCTTCACCTTTCTTGTGTAAAAATAATTATTTTCTTTCTCAGGCCTTGTGACATTTCTCTTCCACGTGGTCCCATTGCTGACAGCATGAAATCGGAAGGTATTTTCTTTGTTACGTAATGCCATTTTACAGTCAACTTCTGCTTCACACACTGTTTACTGAATAATTAGACTCACCTGTATTTCAATTCTTGTTAATTAGGATTTTGTTGTCTAAATTGTAGCTTTGCTCCTAAGACTTTCATTGAGGTGTGTTCATTTTTGCATCATGGTCTTTATTTACTTTTTTGTGTGGGCAAATTAACAAATGTTGTTTGCAATCAATGGCCCTCATTTGTGGGAGTATTTTGCAGTATAGTGTCCCATGGAAAATGTTGATTCTGAAAGGAAAGCAATGGTTTTCTGACAAATTTGTTTGGGTGTACTCATTTATGCTGAGCACTGTACTTTAGTAGGCTGCATCAGGGAAAGTAATATGGGGATTCACTTTTGGTGTCTGAGTCAGTAAGCCATAGGTTTGTGGTTCAGTCAAACATGCAAAGTTCACAGCGAACTTTACCTGGTATTGATCATGAACCTCATTCCTACTTTATTAACAAGACACTATTGCAACAACACATAAAACAAACTTAATTTGTTCAAGACTTGATGTAAAATGTACAGCTGCCTTTGTCCACTTTTAAGAGAATAACAGTGGCACAATTTCTTATTTTTATATGCTAGTTATGTTTGTCTGCATACTAGAAATACGGTATAATGAGGTATACATTAACATTTCCAGAACTGTGGTTATACGTTGAACCATTTTTACTTTTGAGGCTTAACACAAATACTTTTGAGATCTCTATGGTTCCTCATATTGTTGACAGAAGGACCAGTGTGCTTGCAAAGGCTTGTAGAAAGCCTCATATTGAGAACAGGACATCAAATGCATTTTGGTATCCAGAAATGATGATGAACAGGTCCTTATATATTGTTTGGATGATAATGAAAAGAAGGAAGTGAACACCCTCTGTTTTTATGCTTGACATCCAAACAGCTTATAAATCCCATAGGCATGAATTAGCTTCTTGATTTTAAGATTATTTTTATTTTTTTATATATATCCAGGAGTACAGCCTCATGGAGCTTCACATCACTACAGGCCACTATGGGAGAGCAGCATTCCAGTGTAATCTCCGAGGCTGTCTCCCACCTCTGCATCTCCCCAGGCCCTGCGTGTACAATTTTTAGGGAGCCTGGTTCCAAAAAGGTTAACATCTACATGTCTAACTCCTTAAGTCTGAATGAAGTTTTGGGGTATAGCTCCTCGGGACCACATGCAAAGCCGTTTGTTTTAAATATGTAGTACTACTCCCTTAGGGATTGCTGATTAATATGGGTTGCCCTATAGTTCTGCACAGCCAGTCATTCAGCATTTTCCACACAAGCTTTCATCCGAATACATAAATCAGTCCTTGAGCAGTTGTTTTGGTATTTATTGATGGGATTAGAACTTGGATAGGGTAAGGGGATTATAGGATGCCAAAAGGAACAGAAATCTGAGGACAACTTCTTGAATTATTCACAAGCTTCTCCTTCTTTGATGCAATCTCTTTTGGAGTCCTAGCCAGTAGTTTCTAGTTGTACCACCCCAGACCCTAGATGAACTCCTCTTCATCCAGCAATCTGGACTCACTCTTCCTGAGCAGATGATCTGGCTCCTTTTCCTTTACTTGAGGAGAACAGTCACTAGTAGGGGGCTAATCTAGTCTCCCACCAGAGTGATTCTTCCCCTATCTGCCCAGGGGATGCAGGTGCACTCACTCAGATCCTCTCCTGTACCGCTTGTGGGTTGGTTGCTTCTACCAGTCCTATTAGCTGGGTTGCTCCATCCCTGCCATACAGGTGGTCCTCACTCAGGGGGCCAGTGAGTCCCGAGTTTTCTTCCTTTTCAGCGCAAGGCTCGCTGGCAGGCCCCATCTCACAAAGCAGCCTTCCTCCTCCAGCCTCACATCTTCCTACGCCACACTCCTCTCCTTCCACCCTCCTGCTACTGAGCAGGCTCTTACACTTTTAAAGGTGTCCGGCCCCTTGCCAAGCTTTTTGTTGGGTGCAACCAGCCACTCCTCAGATTCAGCCACTGCCTCCAAGGCCCTCCTCTGAAAGCCTCAGAGTAGGCGGAAATTCCAGAGGACCAGCAAACACAAATGCTCCTGCGCTTGGGGATGGACTCGATGCAGGCTACAACCACATTAAGAATGTCCTGGAACATGCACACCTTGCTGCCCTCAAATGGACCGGGGAAATCCAAATATACTGAATGAGGAAAGAACAAACAGAGGGTCCACAGGCCTATTGCATTACCATAAAAAATGTTTAATAAAAAATAAAGTAGGTGTTGTACTCACAAACGACAATATAGTCAAGGCACATCATAAAGAACAGCTGGGTCATCACCGCACTGAGTAACAGTCCGCAATAGGGAGTTTAGACATCCAAAAGACTGACGCATTTCGAGGACTTGCCTCTTCCTCAGAGCCACTTCCAGAGGGGTTGGCCTGTAGAGTCTCTCAACCCTGACCACAATTTGACCCTTCTAGCTATTACTCCTGAGCTGCTAACAGATCCTATCTAACCATTATGATCTAGCTCCCCCTAACTAAACTAGGAAGGTGCTACACTGACATATATGAATTACCCATGTTAACAATTAATTTAACCTAATTCACCACAGAACCTGTAAATTTGTCTTTTATTAAAGAGATGACTTAGCAAAGCCAAGTGTGATTTGGCAAATTACCAGGGATTTTACTCCAAGGTTAGCACAGTCTAACTCTGGTTGTTTAGCAGCTTTTAGCACATGTGCAGGTCTCTTTCTCAAACTCTTACTCCCCACATCTTAACACTGGAAGCTTCCTGCATTATGTACTGCTTCCTGGAGGCTGCTTAACCCTGTAGGGCTCGGAGTTCCTGTTATCAGGAGTGGAGGTTCTTTTACCACCCGAATGTCACTCCGGACCTCCAATATTCTGGGTCCTAAATAAGCAACTGCTAAAGCTGAGAGGACTGCAAGTCAGTCCTCTCCTTTGTACAACTGTCCCCAAATCCTTCACCCTGTACAGGTGAGACTCCTGGGTATATCCATCTATCCCTCTTAAAGGGACTACAACCCGAATATCGGTGCCACTTAGCACCTGTCCAGGACCCACCCTTGGCATCCTATACAATGCTTATGGGCTAACAATCCATGCTTCATTACATTAAATTCAAAAACATGCTAATGGCAAGTCAACAATATATAAATTTATTGTGCACAAGGAAAAAGTAAAGCATGGGAGGGGATGCCAATGGTTGTTTGATGCATACCTAAACTTTAGTGATACTTTTCAACAATTGTTAAAATAAGTATTTGATCCCTATCATTCAGCAGTATTTCTGGCTACCAGGTATCTTTCATACAGGTAACAAGCTGAGATTAGAAGCAGTCTCTTAAAGGGAGTGCTGCTAATCTCATTTTGTTACCTGTACAAAAGACACCTGTCCACAGGAGCAATCAAACAATCAGATTCCAAACTCTCCACCATGGCAAAGACCAAAGCGCTGTCCAAGGATGTCAGGGACAAGATTGTAGACCCACACAAGGCTGGACTGGGCTACCAAACTATCGCCAAGCAGCTTGGTGAGAAGGTGAAAACAGTTGTTGCAATCATTCTTAAATGGAAGAAACACAAAAACAACTGTCAGTCTCCCTAGGTCTGGTGCACCATGCAAGATCTCACCTCGTGCAGTGTCAATGAGCATGAGAACAGCGAGGAATCATCCCCAGAACTACACGTGAGGATCTTGTCAATGATCTCCAGGCAGCTGGGACCACAGTCACCAAGAAAACAATTGGTAACACAATATTGAAATCCTGCAGTGCCCGCAAGGTATCTCTGCTGAAGAAAGCACATGTCTAGGCCCATCTGAAGTTTGCCACTGAACATCTGAATGATGCAGAGGAGGACTGGTTGAAAGTGTTGTGGCCAGATGAGACCAAAATCGAGTTCTTTGGCATCAACTCAACTCGCCGTGTTTGGAGGAGGAGGAATGCTGCCTATGACCCCAAGAACACCATCTTAACTGTCAAACATGGTGGTGGAAACATTCTGATTTTGGGGGTGTTTTTCTGCTAAGGGGACAGGACAACTGCACCGCATCAAAGGGACGATGGACGGGACAATGTACGGTCAAATCTTGGGTGAGAACCTTCTTCCCTAAGCCAGGGCATTGAAAATGGGTCGTGGATGGGAGTTCCAGCATGACAATGACCCAAAACACACAGCAAAGATAACAAAGGGGTGGCTCAAGAAGAAGCCCATTAAGGTCCTGGAGTGGCATAGGCAGTCTCCAGACCTTAATCAGATTGAAAATCTGTGGAGGGAGATGAAAGTAAGAGTTGCCACAAAACCTTAATGACTTGGATAGGATCTGCCAAGAGGAGAGGGCCAAAATCCCTCCTGAAATGTGTGCAAACCTGGTGGCCAACTACAGGAAACGTCTGACCTCTGTGATTGCCAACAAGGGATTTGCCACCTTTAAAATTGTTAGACATGCATTTCTTTTGAATTTTTTGTTGCTATTCTGTCTCTCATTGTTATAATACACCTACCATTTGATTTTTCGACTGATCATTTCTTTGTGAATGGGCAACATTCAAAATCAGCAGGAGATCGAATGCTTATTTCCTTCACTGTACCAATTTAAAGAAAATTGTCAAGGTGACTGTCAGGACCTGGTCTGAACCTGCAGCTTCTGGCTGTGGCTCTTCTTGTTGTGCCACCAGAGTTGTTGTATAGCTCTCTGCCGGATCCCTTAGACATCCTTGCCTTGTGTCTTGTTTCTCTTCAACCTTGAAAACTTTGCTGCTCCTATGAACTTCCAGATTTAAGCCATGTATGCCAGATTACTGTGCTCTCTCCAGCTGATATCTTGCTCCCTTGCATACCTGCTGCTGTCTTTATCTTCGCTACCACTCATTAACAATCCTTGGCTTGTTTAATAAAATGATATTAAAGGCTGAAGGTTTTTTACCTTCATGCATTCTGTGTGCATTGCCCCCCATCCT